GAGATGATCCGCTCCATTGAGAGAAGACGCTCTGAGGTGACACAGCTGATCAGAGATGAGGAGAAGGCTGCAGTGAGTCTGGGTGAAGGACACATGGAGAGACTGAAGCAGGAGATTGATGAACTGAAGAGGAGACACTCTGAACTTGAGCAGCTTTCACACACAGAGGATCACATCCATGTCCTCCAGGTAACAGAACAGCTACTTTGGCAATAAGAAAACCAAGGTATTCAAATTGATGTATGTCTTTATTTGTATTTCAAATTGTTTGTTTTTTTGGCAGAAATTCATTAAAAGCTTCCTTTTAATTAGATTTGAAATGCACATCTGTTTTTATGAAGTTGTTTATTCAGTCTGTGTGTCTGTAGAGGTGCCGGGTCCTTTTTGTCAGCCCTGAAGCTTCAGTTGGACCCAGAATCTCTGTCTATCCACGCTGCTCTTTTGAGAAAGTGAAGAAGATGGTTTCTGAACTGAAGGATCAACTGGAGAATGTTTGCGAAAAGAAAACGACAGAGATCAAACACACAGGTTAATAAATAAATACATTTTCCACTCTGTTCATGTTCTGTACAGACCATGCAGAGAGAGTATACAGTATAATACAGTCAACCTCACATTTCAGTTTCTATTTCCAGTAAGATTAAATTTTTCAGAAAACCAGAAAATAGTAGGAATCATATTTTTGCAAAATGATACAATTTAAAATCCTTGAGAAATTTCTATTGTGTTTCACTCAGAATGATTATTACATTTTTAAACTGCCCTTATAATGTTAATACCCTACTGCTGTTATCTCCACAGTGAGTAAAGTCCATCTCCCACAAGTAAATTCCTTTTACTTACATCCCTGTTTCTCTCTGTCTCCTTCTAGTTACCAAAGACACTGTCATACCGGTATTAGTGCCCACGACCAGAGCAGAATTCTTACAATGTGAGTCTGTTCACACACACGCTTCTCTCTCCCTGTATGAGGTGGAGTGTGTTTTATTGTGTTTCGTTTTCTT